TGAGGTGGATCAAGGGGTACACAAACCTGAAACTCCCCTGAAACATAATTTTCTGCCTAAATTTGGTAGAAGTGATGGATTTTCAGGCAAAACAACTGGTTTAAATTCTGAAACTTTTGAACACTCTAAAGATTCTTATGACGTTTCTTCACCTCCATATTTTGGGGAGGAAGTTGAGGTGAATCCAGTTGCTGCTGCCTCAGTTGCAGCTTTGAGGAAAGCAATTGATGCTGCTCAGGAAAGTATAAAAGTTGCCAAGGAGTCGATGGAAAGAAAGAAAGCTGCCAGACTTCAAAAGCATAAAAAAACAAGATCTTCTAGGATCCTAAATCCTGAAGAGAGAAAGGAGGTAAGCACACGCCAAGAGAAGGTGGCTGGTAAAACCAATGGAAAAATGGATCCTTCAGAGGAAGAAATTGTTGATAGCAGGGAGGATAAATCATCTGCAGAATGTCATATCACTCAAAGAGCGGTGAGGGAAAATTTAAATGCCATAGAACCAAATTATGTGGAATTGAAGTCAACAAAAGTTGATTGTAGGGAGGAAGAAGCAAAAGAATTAGATGCAACAGAACAATTTTATGAACCTAGGCATTTTGATAAAGATGAGGCAAAAAGACTGGAACCTCGAAAGGAGGACAATGCAAATAGATATGGATGGCAAGGAAATATTGGATTAAAGGAAACATCTGAGAATCCTGGAGAATATGGTGATAACTTGGTAATAGTCGATAAGACTAAGGAGCCTGAGGAAAATGGCATAAACTTAAGTGTAGTCAAGGGCATTCTTATGAGCAAATTAAAATCAGTTCTAGGTGTTATTGGGAAGGAAGAAGATAAAATAACACGTCGCCAAGACCAGGTAGAAACTGAAATGAAAGCTGAGGCATCCGTAGAACATGAAAAGTGTGTGGAATTGCCGGAAGAACTTCAAATAACAGAAGATCACGAGGAGTTTTCAATCAGGGAGATGGGGGTAAATAAGGACAGGGAGACCCAAGTTAAGGCTCATCAATGGGTAGTGGAGAAAGATAGACATATCTGCCAACAAGAAGAAAAAGAGGGAGAAACAAATGCCTTCCAAATTGAAAATGATGTTGAAAAGATATTCGATAAATCTAACGAAGAGGAAGGATTTATAAATTGTAACAATGTCTTCCATGATGGCGAAGAAGCTCAAGACATGCTAGAAGATGTTGAATCAAAAGGAAAGGAAGAACTTCAAGAAAACAAACGGGATGATGAGATGATTGAAGGGCTTCCTTTTCATTTGCGCAATAATGAGATTGGACATCATGTTCAAAGACAAATAAACATTGGTGAATGTGCAGTACACGAGAACATCGTCGTACAAGCAACGCCAGACAATCTGAATACTGAGAATAAAATTGAACTAGAAGACGGTTTAAGTAAGCAGGATGAATGTGATAACCTCTCAGAAGATCAGGATGCTAATAATTTCATAGCTAGTATGGAAGGGGTAGAAGTGATTACCGACCAGCCTGAATATCGGAATATTGATAATTCAATGGAGTTAGCTAATATTGCCTTGGAAGTTATGAATAATGAACCTGAGGCAATTACTGAGGAGGGTGACGTGGAGGATAGATTGCCTTTTAAATTGTTTTCTATGGCAGAGGATGCACTTAAACGTAGATTCAAAATGGAAAATTCAAATGCAAGCCCCATTTCAATCCAAAGTGGGTTAGATTTTGGTCTAATCGATTTGAAATTAGAGCAAATGCAACATGATGCATCTGTGAACTGGTCCTCAATCTTTTGCAGTTTGGAAAATGCTGAAGGTATGGCTTCTGAACTTGGAGGAATTGAGAGAAATATGGAGAAAATTGAAGTTTCAATTATTGAAGAAAATGATGACGATTCAAATGAAGAAGAGATACCTAGTAATGTAAATAATACTGAAGCAGGTAACCAGCCTAGTATAACTATAGATGGCAACAAAATCAGTGAAGAGGTAGTGGAGGAAAACGCAAATACAGGAGCAACTGAGAACCATCAAGCAACCATCGAAGTAGAAGAAAGTGAAACTTTTTATGTTTTGAAAAATGAAATGCAGTTGGAATTTGATGAGAACAATATTAGAACCAGTAGTCTATCTGGTATGATTGACATGGACTCGGAAACAGTTCATGACATCAAAACAAGTGAAACTCGAGGAGAAAGCGAGGATAGTTATCGAGTAATTATGACAGAGGATGAAATGGAAGCTAGTGACTCGTCTGACAAAGAGGTGGAATATGCAGTTCACTTGGAAACTTCGGAAGAAGCTGATTCGCCTGGAAGTTCAGGAAGAAAAGAAAATTTAGAAAATACAGAACAGGAGATTAGTACTGGCCAGAAGGTAACAGAAAACGAGAATCATCGAACAACCCCAACATTGGGTGAAATAGAAATTAATGCTGACATGCAGAGAGAAGCAGGGATTGAAACCAAATTCGACAATGAGACAGAAGCTCATGGTTTGCCTCAACCTAAAGAGGAGCTGGCTGAGAACTCAACAGATCAAAGTATCTTAGAAAATGATGGGGAGAATCATCAAGCGCCCCAATTAATGCAGGAGGAGAAGGTATTCCATGAGAAATTTGAGAAAGATGCTGAAGTGATAAAGGATCGGCTGAGAAAAATTGATGAAGCAAAAGGAAAGGAAAGAGAGAGGGAGAGATTAGCCGTAGAAAGAGCAATTCGCGAGGCTCGTGAAAGAGCATTTGCAGAAGCCCGAGAGAGGGCTGCTGCCGAGAGAGCTTCTGCTGACACTCGTCGAAGAGTAATGGCCGAGCCACGTGAACGCCCAAGGAAGGCTTCCATTGAGGCAAATACTAAGCCTTCTACCGAAAAGCATTCAAAGGAAGCCAAATTAAAAGCTCAGCGTGCTGCCGTTGAAATGGCTACTGCTGAGGCAAGAGAGCGTGCTTTAGAAAAAGCTATGTCCGAAAAGGCTATTTCCGAGGCAAGAAATCTGGCTGACAAGATTGTTGCCGAAAAACTAAATGGTGCAGCTGGAGTTAGTAAAGTAAAGAAGAGCTTTTCATTTAATGTGAGTACTTTTATTTTTTATCCTCCCCTCCATGTTTTTTATTGTCCATGAAACAATTGAAGGGGCACATGATTGTGATTAACACCGAAAAGCACTTACATTCAGGACTCTCAGCCAAAAGGCCAATGTTCTTCCAGCAATTTCAGGCATGCGAATTCATTCAACCTTGGAGGTGAGTTATGCGCTTTAAGTACTTTCTGGCCAAACTGCTTAAAGATTTCTCTATTATCAGTATGAAAACTTGATAAATGAAGGGATTATTATTTTGTTCCGGTGACTGTTATCCGTGGTTTCTGAACAACTTGTCACTCGATATATAGGTCCCGACGCGTCAGAGAGAGAGGTGGGATCTGCTGGGGAATCTGCACAGAGAAGTAAAGCCAGGTTGGAGAGGCATCAGCGAACGGTTGAGCGTGTGGTATGTTCTGGTCAAACTGTGAACTATCCAGAATTTGATTGCAGATGGCCACATTTTATTCAATTTTTCTGTTCCATTTCAGGCGAATGCTCTTGCAGAGAAGAATATTCGTGACATTCTCGGACAGAGAGAACAGGAAGAGAGAAATGTAATTTACACGTCTTAACAGTTTGGAGGAGTAAGTAAGTATTTTATGAGATAGTTCGTCTAACAGTGCCCATATCTTCTGTTTGTAACAGAGACTAGCAGAAGGTCTAGATGCTGAAGTTAAACGGTGGTCAAGTGGGAAGGAGGGAAATCTGCGTGCATTGCTTTCAACTCTACAATATGTAAGCTAAAATTGAGCGCCCTATTGTTATTCTCTGATTTTGATGTTATGATCAGAACCTAACTGCTTATTATGTTGACAGATCCTCGGGCCCGACAGTGGGTGGCAGCCAGTCCCTCTAACAGATATTATCACGACAGCTGCTGTCAAGAAAGCTTACCGTAGGGCAACTCTTTCGGTCCACCCTGACAAATTGCAGCAACGGGGTGCAAGCATTCCACAAAAGTACCTATGCGAGAAGGTTTTTGATCTTTTGAAGGTATGTGATAAATTTATTACTTGAATGAATCTATATTGGTATTTGGGTTATGTTTGTTATTTTTTAAATTAGGAATTTGGTAAAAATTATTGAGCTACAAGTAAGAATTACGAACATGGAACATACTTCAAAGTGATTTTAGAATGATGAAGATTACTTTCTTCGTGCCCTTTTTAGTGTTTTTTTTGGTCATTCTAAAATCACTTTTGGAACATGTTCTAATGGTTACCAGCCCCAAAAGCCCTTACAATTTAAATCCAGTCTTTTAGGTGATCATTTAGTCTATTTGAGAACATTATTTCTCTATTTTGGTGCGAGTTCCACTGGCTCCCGCATGATCTATTTGTTTCGAGTAGGTTTTTAAGCGATTCTAAATCATAATAGGTTTCAAAATGAATTCACAGGGGGAGTCTATATTTTATTTAGTTTTGCAATTGAGTTCAAAAGTTGCTAACTCCAAATCTGTAATCAACAGGCTGCTTGGAACAAGTTCAACATGGAGGAACGATTATAACGCAGTCGATCAACCTAGATTTCCTTATAATTGCATCAGCATTATCATGTTCATAACCATTGCATATCATTTTATGGTAGTTATGATGGGAAAAGCCACACAATTCTTTCGATCTGTCATCGAGAGACCTTTTGGTCAGAAAAACCAATATTGGAAGTGTAAGTTGACCGTCAATCTTATATCTATATATATATATATCTGATCTTTTTAGTTCAACCAATGTGGATAATCAAAATTATAACCTTATTTATCTGTCAATTATTGTTATACTATTGCTAACGTGACTAATTGTTAAAAAGATGTCGCACTTTATATTTTTCACATAACCTATGTAAACTACTAGACCATTTCTCTTCTGAAAAAAAGGATTAGTGTTTAAATATACGATCAAACTAGACGAGAATTGCAAAACGGAGCTCGCGGCTATGACAAACACTAGCTGCAAAAGTTAAAACTGTACTGCAAAAAGTAGGTTCCAGTTTGCAAAAACAAAAGACAGTACGGTAGAGAATCATAAACTAGTTAACCTCAGCCATACTATTATTGAAACATGAATTGGCATATTCCATTATTAAGTGCTGGACACAATCATAAGCCAAGAACATGAAGCATTATAGCATTCTGTGCGTGCATTCGGTTCTCAGCTTGTGGAAAGACAATGGAGTTGGGAGCCTCAATTACCCCATCTGTCACCTCTACGCCTCTCTCTGCTGGAAGGCAATGCATGAAATAAGCCTTTGAACCTGCTAAATTCATGAGCTCTTCGTTAACCTGTATCAATAACGCAAACAATGTCATTGCAGCTCCGATGAGGTATACCACATGCATCCCAAAGATCAAAAAATAACTACCACCAGTGCCCTCCAATGTTTGTCACAAATGATTAGTTTTGCATATGGTCCCCTAAGTGTCACAGAACACATCACAGTTTCAATATAGGAGTGAGAAGAACCACGACATGAGTAGTTATCTAATCCTTCTCGTAACCTAAGCTAAGTTCCCCGGAATCGGACATTATACCATTACAGTTCATCGGGAAGTTTTCATCATTGAATCCGAGAGATCACAAATGCAGAGGGAGGACAACCTGGAGTGATTAACTATGGGACGTTTGGAAGGGGAAGGTTCGAGTTTGGATGGGTCGGGAAGGCATATACTTGGCCAGAGAGTTTGTTGTGCAACAAACATCAGAATGAAACTACAGTTTTTCAGCACAAACCAACTATTTGGTATTCAGCACAGAAAAAGTGTAGACAACAGGCTATTTCTAAACTTTCCATCTCAAGTAATAGCATGAAAGATCAAAATCAGATAATTCAATATCAAGCCGGACCATCAGAGCATGTCGATCTTCAACAACAATTTTTTTTAGTAACATCTTCATTGACAAAATTAATTAGCTCGAAGTGCATTCATTAGAAAGAAAATGCTTCAACAAGTACCTGGAAGCCTTGAAACGCTTTACGCCGATATTCAGCCTCCTCTTTTTGTCCCATACTTGCCCAGACATCTGAATACACAACATCAGCGCCTTTCACTGCTTCCTTGGGATCATGGGAAATCTCGATCTTGCTAATTCCAGCTTGCCGGGCTTTTTCAACTGTGTTCTTATCCGGCTCAAAACCTTTAGGACAGGCACAAACAAAGTGGAGAGGTACAACTGATGCCAACAACAACCACGAGTGCACCATGTTATTTCCATCTCCAACATACACAACCTAAATTTTCATTGTCATCCACTCAATTCATTTGAGAAATATAACGAAAGTATATTTTATATCTACTATAACGAAACACAAATGAGGAAAACCAAACCTTAGTTCCTTCTAACTTGCCAATGTGTTCAATCATAGTGAGTGCATCAGCCATTACTTGACAAGGATGGTTGTAATCCGTCAGGCCATTTATTACAGGCACGGTTGCATATTTTGCTAAATCAAGAATATCCTGCAACAAAATGATAGTATGACGACCAGTAGAGAGACATCTGCACTATTAATCGTTGCAACGGATTAATGAAACAGAAGAAATCACAGTCCACACGTATGTGGCAAGATTGCTTACATTCCAGTTAACTTGAAATTCGACACCTTTTCCCTTATTTCTTAGGATAGCTAGGAGTATTTGGCCTTCAATTTGCTATTGATTTTCCCAAATAGAAACCCACCAAAGAGAAAAGAAGTTTAAATATAAGACTATTTCCTCCTCACACGTCCATCCCATGGTGGAGCCATTTCTGGCTGTGTTTGGTATTTTACCAATGACTAGTTTTAGTATGCCTACGTGAATAGATACACATCACAGTAACCTTGTGTCTAAATGACTGTAGTTTTGCATATAAAATGATGCTAACAGGCCACGGTTCCCACCTTAATGTTCCACAATCCAGACAACATTGTAAACAGGTGACTTCATCCCAACAGATACATAAACTTCATTCAATCATAGATGAATAATTCAACATAGCTATCTATCAGAAAAGAAATGTCAAGAAAACTTCAATTCCTTTGATTATTGTATCAAGTAAAAGCTGAAATAATAACTAGAACGGGTCTGCTGCGAAGAAGATTTAAGCAGTCGTTACAAATGCTTCACAATGTTTTTGTTATTTAGAAAAACTCAATCAAAAGGTTATTTACAAGAAATATAAGGTAATAAAAGAAACATCATTAAGCCATATTTAGCTAGAAAAGGTTTTCACAAGCCACCATCAATAGCCGAAATCTCAACCACCCTGATTTTGCTTCATTAAATCTCAGATTATGTTGTCACGTGGAACTAAGAAGGTAATAAATTGGCCCTCATACCTGATGACCAAAAACACGGGCCATGATGACATCATTATATCGAGACAGAACACGAGCAATATCCCTAGTTTCCTCTCTTTTTCCCATTTGGATAGTGTCGGGCCCTAAATATATGGCATGCCCCCCTAGCAAGAAGAAACCAGTCTCAAATGAAACTCTGGTTCTCATGGATGGTTTTGCAAATATCATAGCCATTGTCTTCCCTTCAAATGGGAGAAATGTCCTATCTCCAGATTTCAGTTGCGCCTTAACTTCGATTGCACGGTCTAAGATCTTCATGAGGGTGGATTTATCAAAATCACTGAGGTGAAGGAAGTCCTTCTTCTCTGCTTTCACTGACAAACAATACAAAAAAGAACAATAGTCAGACAACTAAAAGCATACACCAGTCGATTCATTGAATTGCTTGCATTTCCAATAACTTGTTGCCTGAGAAAAAGTGAGGAAAAAACACTATAATCTGTTCTCAAGCCAGTGAGACAGCCATCGCATATCGCCAATGCAAGCGTCAAAAATCAGTGGGTTCAAGTTCAAGAGAAATTTGTTCACGTCTCGCATTTAGACAGAGCAGCATCCAAACAGATAGATGTGTGCACCCAGAAAGGCGTATACACCGTCTGATAAGTACGACTTATCCAACTTCACGAACCACATAAGAACAGTGATAGAGCAATATAAATATCACCAACACTCACAGTCCATAAGCCCTAACTTCTAAGTCATAGCAAGAACCGTAATAACCTTTGTCGAAATGAAAATTACAGGAATAATATCGCAAATAAGAAGTTAAATCGGAGACATACATACACCTTTTGATACAACCGGAGAAGGGAAAGTTGCAGAGGTCTGGCAAGTGATTGAAGGAAAACGAGCAGGAAACCTAGCCGGAGAAGCGACAGAAAACCCTGAAAGGCCGCCGGAAAATTTCACCGATCGCCGAATACCTCTACTGGAGTAGAAGTGAGTAGGGAGGGAGCTTTTCTCCGATCGAACAATAGAGTGAGAGCAAATCGCTGCCATTGCTGTTGATGAAATGGTGGATTATCGGAAGTTTCGCTAAGCAATCGATTCCAGTCGAACGAGCAATGCAAGAATTCGAATCCGTCAATGTCGTTCGCCTCGATTGATTTGATTCTCACTCTCACTTTTACAAGGTATTCAACCTTTTTTCTACAGAAATGTATATCGCTTTCAAAAATTTGTCCGCGAACTACAAGAAATGACCCTTGTCTATGTTTCATTCATGTTTGTGTTTATGGCTTTTCGGCTTCGGAATCAACAAAGTGAGCATAGTGACTGTTTACATCAAAAATAAAAGTAAAAATAAATAATAATAATAACATTTCTCAAGAACAAAACAAACTAAAAAAAGAAACTTTTCTATTTATTTTGTTTTTGTAGAGTATAAAATAATTAATAAAAAGTTTCTATTTTATTTTGTTTTATCTTTTACTCGAATTTATTCTTAATAATACAATATTATTTAATTAATCAATTAAACAAAAATCTACCTGTAAAACTAATTAAATTCAAGCATATAATACTAAAAATTTAAATTTATTCTGTGATAAAAAAAATTATACACAGGAGAGGACAATACCATATCAATTTAGCGCATCTCGATATTTATATGATAAAATATATATAATCTAATTCATTTTAATCTTGATACGGTTAAAAATGAAAGTCAATAGGTCAATTAAAAGTAAAAAATACAGCGTGAACCTGATATAATAATCAATAAAAATTGGAGGTATTTATTATTATTAAGCGAGATATACCGTTTTAAATTATTATTGATTAATTAAGATTTTATGATATATAAATACATAACTTTACACGAATCAAATATGAATCACACAAATAAATATTTATTAAAATCGTTGAGAAAAAACGATTGCTCTCGCCCGACCCGACCCGGATATGCATTAAAGAACGGTTAACCGGTCACCGCGATCTCCGGCTGAATGTAATTCGTCCCGATCTGGGCGGTGAAAGACTAGAAAGACTTTGACGCCGATTCACCCATATTTATTACCCTTCTGTTCTCCCATTTTAATAATTTAATAATCCTCAGATTATGATGTTTTAAATTTTTTTATTTATTGTACAAAATCGGCTACGATTTTATTTATCATTCTCTTTTCGTACCATACAATCAACCGCACAAATCCCTCTCAGCCACAAATGTAATATTGCCACGTGTATGGCTGCCTTTTTTTCTGAAAAATAATATTGTTCTCATTAAAATAAATAATTTACAATATTACATTTTAAATAAAATAAAATGCTCACTCCCATACTCTATTACCTAACCCAATGATATATACATATTTCAATTAAGTTTAAGGTAATATTTTAAAGTCCAAATAAGGAAATAAATAAATAAAAACCACTATTTTAAAAATAACTTTAACTCTTATTAAATTTAATAAGGTATATAAATTCGATTAAAAAGTCAAATATATATATTAAATTTTAAAAATACATTTTATTACAAATTTGATTCTTATAATTAAAAAAAAAAAAAGTTTATATATTATTAAATGTTAATGATTTGTATTTTGTGGGATTTTTTTAATTTTAATTTTTATGGGGATTCAATTATTTCCAAAAATTAATGTGGGCCCACAACACGACCTCTTATGGCAACAACGTAACCGTGAAAATATTGATAAGAAAAGAAAATAATAAAGAAACAGCGACAGTTAAAGTTGAGAAGAGGGCCAGCTCTCCACTTTCCAGGCCGCCCTAGAAGCTCTAAATAAATGACAGCCCCATTCCACATTCACTCTTAACAAACCCACAACACAGAGATGAGGCTTTGGAGTCCGGTTTTGGTGGTTCTGGTCCTGGTTCTGGTTCTGGTTCGAGCCAAAGCAGACGATGGGTTCGTGAGTACCAGAGGGCAGCAACTGATACTGAACGGAAGCCCATTTTACGCCAATGGGTTCAATGCGTATTGGGTAATGTACTTCGGGTCAGACCCATCGCAGAGAAACAAGGTCTCCTCTGCTTTTGAAGAAGCCGTCAAGCATGGGCTCTCCATTGGCAGAACTTGGGCCTTCAGCGACGGCGGAGACAGCCCTTTGCAGTACTCTCCCGGCAGCTACAATGAGAAGATGTTTCAGGTGAAGAAAATGGTCCGATTGCTTTGATTTATGCGGTTTAGTGTCTGTGTTTTATGCTGAATGGGAAATGGGTTTGTTAGGGCTTGGATTTTGCGGTGTCGGAGGCGAGGAAATATGGGATTAAATTGATATTGAGTTTGGTGAACAACTATGAGAATATGGGAGGGAAAAAGCAGTATGTGGAGTGGGCGAGGAGTCAGGGGCAGTCCATATCATCGGATGATGATTTCTTCAGTAATCCTGTTGTGAAAGGGCTGTACAAGAATCATATTAAGGTAATTTCACAAACCCATAATCCTTTTCGCTTTTGTTTCGTTGATTGAGGCTTTGAAAGGGGTTGGTGAAAATGAAACGGCTGGTTGGAGTGGTTGGGAATAGTTTTAACAGCTCATTTACAGAGGGGAGTAATTTTGATTTTTTTACTTTTACTTTTACTTTCACTTTTACTTTTTTTTCTTGGGTTCAAAATCTGAAAGATGATATATGTTTTGCGTTAATTTTAAATATCCATAAATTTTATAATTCATCTAAAAAAAATATCCATAAATTTTAAAATTTTGAAAGATACCCTTAAATTAAAAAAAAAAAAAAAAAAAAAAA